GGGAGAGAGCTGGAGACAGACCTCATCAAAGGCAGGAGGCCTGGTGGGGATCAGAGAGAGGGAGATACACATCTAAATAATTCAGGCACTAATAAAAGCTTTGGGTTGGGTTCGCTCCAAGCTGGGAGAGAAGGCTCAATTTTGGTGTATTTTCTGCTGCCATTGTTGCAGAATGCAGTGTTACTTAATAACCCAATACTGATAAACTAACCTTATTTTAAGAGTATTCCGCATAAAGTTAATGAGGAAAGTGACTGTGCCTAGTTTTGTATTTTTATATCCTTAGCTTTAGGTTGAAATTCTATTATATGAAGATTTTGAGAACTTCAAGTCTGACCTCTACAGGTGGGCCGCTGAAATAGGTACAGTGTCTTTTGATCTCAAACTGTACATTGCATTTTTAGGTATTGGAGAAAGGTAATGGGCCAGATGTAATATAAAATCCCAGGCTACCATCATTACATCATTAAAACCTTATTTTTAAAACACCATTGTCTGTAGTAATTTGGTTCATACAAATGCCTTCTTGCAAAATGCATCCACAGTGCAGCAAAACCAGAAAAAAGCACATCCAGCATGAACATTTTTACATTCAGAAGTGTTACAGGGTTTTGCTTCTGCTTTTTATTATCCCTCCTCCTCCTTCCCCAATCTTCCATGTGATCTGCTCCTTCAGCACTACAGAAACAAACACTACTTTGAAACTGATAACACACATTTGTGTTTTGCAAAACTGATGTTTTTAAATGCCCTGATTGGTGCCACCTTTTTCTAATCAGAACCAACCACTCTAACAAACTGCCCTTTGTCCGGTGATCCCATCCCCTCTGTTCCCACCAACCTACAGCACATGTTGCCATAGCTACACTGCATGTCTATTTACCACACAAGTGATCAAAGGAGGCAGACAACACACATACACACACGCACAAAAACCTCGCCAGGCTTCCTACAGAGCAATGTCCAGCCACTAATTAACTGATACACTCCCAGCCTGTGGACTCTGTACACTTGTTTTCTTTATTCTGCATGGTACACAAACAAAAAACAGCATTCTCTGAGATGTTCATTCTTCCCTTACAGACCAAACAAACAACTAAACATCCTAGGAGGAACTTTAAAGAGAATTTCCTAAAGCAAGACTAAGGACTACAGCACCCCAGGATAAGAAAACAGCTTTTCCACTGAGGAATACATTAAGAATTCTAAAAGTTATGCAAAAGAAAATAGGAAATAAGAAACACATGCTAGGCAGTTAAACATCTGTAAGGAAAGGGGATGATTTTGAATTTTGCATGTGTTATTCACTGAAATCGTATGCAGCATTTATTCACTTGGTGAATTGTATACACACTAAAAGCTGTATGTCTGCAGTCATGATAAATAATTATAATGGCCTTATGTGCCCTAGAAACACAGTTTTTCATTTTTAGGTGGCCTGTCAGTTAACAGTCATTTTGTTGGACCTCTTTGTGTGATGAAGGGCTCAACTCTGCCTTGATGAAAGTCAATGGGACTTCAATAGGAAGAGGCCAAAGTAAGGAGCTACATTTGTTGTCCTGACACTCCCATGAACAGCACTTCAGGGATTTGTTGTGGGTGAAAGTGAGTGAAAATGAAGTATTAAAATTCTTCAAACATTTGATTTTCTATGAAGTAGGCTTAGTGAACTTAAAACAGAGCCCACAGTGCCCTCTCCAGTTCTACAGCAAACTCAGGGAATCCAGCCACGCGACAGCCTCCAGCCACATGAAACTGCTGCTCTAGCACATAAAGGCTGAGTGTCTTTTCAGGAGTTTCCATCACTTGCAAGTTGCCTTGCTTAGGCAAGTATTTTTAAGTAACTAACTGAACAGAGTAGTCTGCAAAGCAGAAAATATGTTACACTTAACATACATTAAGTGTAATTCTTATTTGTCGAGTTAGTTTTTTGCTGTTGTGTTTTTTTTTTTCTTTTTTCTCTTGCAACCATGTTAAATACCTTTAAAAATGCACTTCTGCTTCCTATTATTAGTTTTGCAGCACACTAGAACAACAAAATGGGTGTATTTTCCTATAGATACTTAAACTTTTACAAGTACGCAGTAACCAGCATGCTTTCATAGATGTCACATGCAGAGCAAGAGGATGGAAATTCTCCCATTTTGGTTACTGGACCTTCTACACAAAGTCATTATTTATAAGTGACAGAAAGGAGACAGCTCTTGCTGAGGTTTTTAATTACTAGCAAAAAATGTCTGCTTCTTTATATCTGTCTCATTTATAAACATCAACACAACATCTTACACTAACCCTTGTTACTAGATAGAGACCATTGTCCTGATGCCACATGGTGGTAGCGGTCAAGTAGGTTGAATCTTATCAGTTCAACAGTCTGCTTATTACATTTCTACAGTAATCCTTTTAATTACCTTGGGAAATGAATATTTTTGTCTTGGAAGTGCTATTGTTCACTATCTGTGGACTGCCTTTGGACTGGTTCAGTCATCAGCACAATGCAGTTTCATTCCAGTGCTAGCAACACGCTACCTACCTGCTTGATGGCTAACTTTGCAGCCTCAAGTTAGGCTATAGCTACCACCAAGAATATCTTCAGGTGGGAACAGTGGCTCCCAGAGCTTGTTAAGAGGAAGGAGTCAGCCCTGCCCCTCATTGCCTTATACTACCTGGCATAAGGATGGGGAAGAGAGCACCCAGGAAGAGCAGGAAAGATAACAGGACAGGTAGGGAGGACACTGTGGAGAGGGAGGATTGCTGGGCAAGCAGGAAAAGTAAGTAAAAACAGCTCTCTGCTGCTCTGAATAGGAGAGCAGTAAATGGGCCAACAAGTAAGTCATGTTCCTATTTCCCATAAAAATGACAAACTAAAGGAAGGGGTGAAGGCTCCAGCTGCATGTGACACTTCCTGCTCCTAAGTGTCTGCTGTAATGGTTTTTCCTAACCATCTTTCATAATTAGTTCATAGCTCGTTACAGCCTTCAGTTCCCGCTGAAACAAGAAATCTGCTGCTGGGGCCAGCGTGCCTAGCCTCTGTCCACCCTTGGCTGCCATCAGCTCCATGGTTTTCACCCCTCCGGCCCTAGCAGCACACGTGGCCTTCTCCTGCCAAACTGAAAATATTTGTGCACAAAACCAACCAGACCCGGAGAAATACTTCTAAATTGTTCACTTGGCTCGGGGTGAGAAACTGTGCTCACGGGCAGGTGTTTAAACAAGCTCTGGCAGCTCTTCAGCTGGCTCTCCCCACACCTCCCCAGGAGGAGTAGCTGGGCGGGATGCCGTGCAGGCGGGGAGCACGCTCACCCTGTGCATCGCTCCAGAGGGGGAATGAAAGGAGGCAGGCACCCGCAGGACGTGCTGGGCCATGCACGAGTAAGCTCCTCTGTGTCTGTGCCTGCACCTCTTCTTAGGCGGGAATGCCTCCCACCCCTCCTCCTTCCCATGCCTCTTCTTTCAGAGGGGGAGGGAGGGTACCCGTGCACACTGACAATCTTCACCTTCTCCATTCTGTTTTAGCCCACCAGCTATGAAGCTTTGTTACATATAAAACCATACGCTTCAGGTAGAAATATTTCAGATGAGCAGTGTGTGTTTCGCAGAGCGTTTACGTTTTTATTACCATCCTGTAACATTTCTGCTTCTTTCTATATTCCCCACTGGCAACCCCCTGTGCCAAAGTACCCTCTTGTGGCGATAATGATTTCTGATAACTGTGTGCATCCAACTGACCAACTTGAGCTATGCAATATACAAAATGCCCTTCATTTTGCTTCACAAGGACAAAAATTTCTCTCTTAAAAGCTATAAAAATACTTTTTGTTGTTGTTGGTTTTTTTGCTTGTGGGAGAAAGAAATGTCAGTCCTCTTCCTTTACCTGTATTCTCTCTTTTTTCTCCCTTCCCCACCTCCCTTAATTTTGAGAAAAATGGTGTGAGGAAGCTGAGATTTTCCACCATGATTTCAGAAAGTGAGTGAAAAACAAATGCTCCATTTGCACTACAGGTGCAAAATCCTCACACATGCACTCCCTGGACATGTACTATAAAAGTCCCACTGAGAGCTGAATGAATAACACCCACACAGAAGAGAACCTAGAAAACTTCTCTTATTTCTTCATATCTACCCACTGCCTACTTAGAAAATAACATATTAAGTGTAACATTCGGAAGTGGACTGGCAGGGCTTTTTAAACTGGGACAGATCTCTGATTCAGTCTTGAGATACAGCCCAGCCAGTTTCCCTCGCTCCCACAAGGCTCTTCTAACTTCACATTGTTGTTGCAAAACTATGAACAGTGAGAATCAAAAACATTTTGCCACTGTGCCTTTTAACTGGGAGAATGAGTATAAAAGCTCCTTTTGTCCCTTCAGGTGAATAGAATTCTTTAAAAAAAAAAAAACTCATTTGAATAATCTTGGAAAAAAATCTCTAGAAAACCCATCTTAAAGTACTTTTGTGAAGCTGTAAGACAGCTTGAAGCTACTACATTTTAAAACAATCAGAAGATTAAAGCACTGGCAGGCAAGGAACTCATGCGGAGCTGTTTAAAAAATTATCCCTGGGCTGCATTATTGGCATATTTAGCCTTATAACACAGCGAGTTCTTTCCTTTTACATGTCACAAACACGGCTGCAAGACAGTCTACACAATGCATTTAAACCCCGGCAAACGGGAATCGATTTACACATCTCTCAGACGGCTTTTGTACCCCCCACAAAACTCAGGCACACAACGACCTGCACGGCATTGCTTACTACTGGGAAGACTGAGCTGAAAGACAAAAACCTTTAAATCGCTTATTTTTTTTTCTTTTTCCCTGAAACTTGCTTTTCACTAGGCTAAGGGAAAAAAAAAAAAAAAAAAAAAAAAAAAAAAGAGAGAGAGAGAGAGAGAGAGAGAGAGAAATCTCAGCAGAAGCTTGTACCAGTGCTACCAAACCGAAAAGGCAGCATGCCTGGTGCTGCTGCCCTGAGGAGCCCCAGGGGCAGCAGCTCCTCACCTGCCTCATGTTGAGCTTCCCATCATCCATCCATCCAGTCGGGAAGGGGCTCACGCCGCGCTGCTATCTGCAGGGCAGAAATCCATCAAGTTTCCCACTGTACACAAGTTTTTCTCCCCGTCTTGCTTGTTGGTTTGTTGATCTGTGTTTTGTTTGTTTGTTTTGTTTTCTTCCTCTTTTATCCTTTGCTGGGGGGACTCTTCCCAAGACAATGTCAAGTGTCCCAACCTTCCTTCCCAGCCTATTAAAAGTCAGGAGCAGGGAGGCAACTGTCCGCCTGGCTCTTATTTCAAACCACAGCTCAGGGATGTAGTAGTTGGCTGAATTAGGCCATGAAATAGCCTCGCCAATCAGGAGAAAGGGGAGGGAGGTAGAGCACAGAAAGGCTGCCTACATGAGGATTAGGAAAGCTTTCAAGGATTTGAAAGACTGAAAGCAGCTGGAAACAGTGTCTAGGGCTACAAAGAGGGAAGTCAATTTGTGGTGTGAGAGATTATTCTCATTCTCATCTAACTGCTCTGGGTCTGCTTACAGCTGAACGGACTCCCAGGACTTAAGTAAGAAAATGTAAATGTCCAGCGAAACTCCCGAAATACCAGAGCGATGCAGAAACACTTAACAGCAGCCCCGCAAAGTGGCAATATCCCGTACTAGCAGGAGCCACAGGCACTCCACAAGCACCGATTTCCTCATGTCAGATTAAAAAGTAAATTGGCTCGTGACATGGGCAGGAAGTTAGTAAAATACACTATGCCAGTTACATGAAGAGAAAGCGCCTGTCTGCCGGAGGGTATATACAGGAATCAGCAAATTTTGTTGCAAGATTTTATTTGTCTTGGTGAAAAATATTTAACCATCATTAGCATGTTATCTGCTTTTTATTCTTTACAGAGGGTGATTTCCTGGTTTCTGAAATTTGGTTCCATGTTCAAGATAACACTGGAACCCAATTGCAACTTTATTTATTTTTATTTTTTTAATTTTAACAATGAGATCAGCTTTTATCTGCTGCCCCTCAGTGGCTTTCATTAAAATAAACAAACAAAAGGAAAAAAAAAAAAAAAAAGTAGTGCTATTGCTGTTTGAGTTACACCCTTCTTGAGTAGAAAAAAAAAAAAAAAAGTGGAGAAAGAGAAAACTGCCAATTCATACCACCCACTCTTCTCCAATTTCTTTATCCCTCACTTAATATCAGTTCCAAAGCTGTTAGACTTCTGTTCTTCTCTAAATGGAAAGCTGTCTTTTGATCTCAGGGGACAATCAGACAAATCTGAAGTCTGAAGAAAAGCCCCAACATCATGGATTTGTTTCTGCAAGGGATTTATCTACCAAGGCAAAAAGTAGTCACTAGCCAGCAAAATTCCTATCAGTACAAGAAATCTTACTGAATTGAGCTACAGAAGAAAAAAAAAAAAAAAAACCATTACAGTGATGTGCTGCCAGGATTTTAATTAAAAGCTTCTAAAGCTTCTTAAAATATATTTCCTTTATTTTATGATAAGCTCCAGAGCTGAGTATGTCACAAGGAAAGGAAGAATAGATCTGAAAAATCTATACATTTGCTTTCCCGCTGAAAAAAAATAATTATTTTTTTCATAAGTGCCACCAAGAATTTTGCATAATATTGGCACTGTCCAGCTCAAAAGCAAAGTATGGATGGAGGAAAAATTTAATGTAAAGTACCATTGCACTTTATCCTGGGCCAGCTGTCTTCATCTGGTTTATGTCCCAAAATGGACATATCCAGTTATGTGCTTTAACTTGCAACCCCAACCAAGTATCCTGACGGATTCTCATAAGATAAAACTTAGCTATTTACACTAACCCAAGAATACACAACTCCCTGAGACAACTCCTCCTCCAGTGATGGTCTAGTCCTGCACACTTGCGCAATGGCTCCAAGCAGCTGCAATGCACAGAAATGGGTGCATTAGGAGTAGGAATGCTTGTTCTCTGATCCCCAAATATAGCTTAGTGGACACATGCCACTTGAAATTAGTATGTGGTATTTGAAGACCTTTTACTGTTAAATCTGTGAGAATCCTCTCCAGGCTGCATTCAAAACGGTAAAAATGTTTTTTCTGAAAATAATTTGTACCTTAAAGAGAAACTTTCTTGGTGAAAGTTTGCCACTTTGGATACAAGAAAAGACAGATGTTGTTTTTTTACATTTTCCTCTGAATATTTGGTTACACACCTATAACCCAAGTGTATGTGTGTGTGAGAGAGAGAGAAAGTCATATTATATTCTGGTAAGTGAAAGAAGATTTTGGCTCTGAAGAAAGAAACTTTTACAGTCTATCCAGTGGAAATCTATGGAGGGAAGTGTAGCCTGTGGAGGTAGGTGGTGCCAAGTATAAGTTCAGGTATCACTGAGAGCAGACACCTGTATAAGCAAGAGCAAAGTCATATGTTGGAGCGTGATAGTTTTTAGAGGGTTCTCATGGAGGTAAATTAAAAGACAAATGGTTGCAAGTAAAAGTAGTGGGATGAGGATTAGCTCAGTGGACACAACAGTGGATAACTCTGAAGGTGATTAAGTGTAGCAAAGCAAAGACAGCAATCATGAAAAATTCAGCACTAAATTAAGAAATTCAGCACTGTTTCAAAATGCGAAACTTTCACTTGTTCTAATTTGTTAACTAAGCCTTTTTTAATTGGCTTCATTCTTTTCAATAAATTGCCAAATACAGGAACATTTTTGAACAGGTGGACCAGATGCAGAGCAACCTAACGTGGAATTATTGGGTCACTGGAGTTTTTATTCTATAAAGCGATTTTACATAGTACAGGCCAGCCAGGTCCCTGCCAGTTACAGGGGTGAGCAAGATGGGAAGTGGAGGAAAGGACTTTCTCTCATTAGCTGAATTTCAGATGCCATGCAAATCCTTCTGGGCCCAGAGAATTCAATATAGGTTGAAGACAAAAGAATCACTTTGTGTCCTTACTGAGCTGGGCCAGATAGAGACAGACCAGTCCCCAGGACCTGATTACATCCAGCAGAAGTAAAAGAGTTACAGCAGAGCAAATCCCAGCATATAGGTTAAAAAGAACACTTTATGATATGAAGACTATCACAAATATGTTGCCTTTAAGTTGCAGTGTAGACAACTGATAAAGATATGTTGATGTTGTTGTTGTTTAAATTGGGAGGAAAAGGCAATACTTACACCCAAACTATCAGTGTTCTAATTCATTTCTAATGTGTTTGTAGTCCTTCCCTAGTAGATTCAAATTGGAACTTACTGGAAGAGTGGGATGTCCTGGGATGTTCAAACTACAAAATACTATTTAATAACCACAGATAACACTAGAATATATAACGCCAGGCAACACTGGAATGTAAAAACAACCTCCGGAAGAATTGGCACAAAATATTTGAATTAGAGTGTTGTAAGGTAAATAAAGGTTCCTGAAAATATGATATAAAAATAAAGAAACTCTGAAATAGTATCAGTATAAACAAAAACATAGAAACACCTGTTCTCAAGATGTGAAAGTGTCACAAAATAATTTTAAAATATATAGTCAATGAATATAAGAAAGTGTAGAGCTGAATCTTGCAAAGCAGTAACTGCTTTTATCAACATCAGTGTGGTGAATGGAAGGAAGATAAACTAATTATCTTGGCAGAGTGTCTGACATGGGTATTTTAATGTACATGTTTTCCAACAAAAGTTCAAAAATAAGACCAGCAATGTCAGACATCCTTAAATTTACAAATATGGACTGAAAGCCACAGTGCAGAAAGAAGTTCTTAAGGCAGACCTTTGGGAAATTCATTACCTCTCAAGAAAGATGACTTAACCTTTTGGCAGGCTATCACTGAAAAAGGCAGAGATGAGAGAGATCAGAGCATGCTGCAGTCCTCTTGGTAGAGTGGTCCTTAGATGACCACTTCCCCTCACTCTGTTATTTACAGCATCCCTCAGACTGCTCTGATCTCACTTGGGGCTGTACCAGCCACAGGCAAAAGAGAAGGGAAGGTGCTTTCAGGACACGTTTTTGTCCATCACTTACACAATCTAAACAATCAGCAGGCTCAGGCAGACATATACACAGCTCAGGCAGACATATATAGTAAAAAACAACCCATCTGTACCTGCTACATGACAAAATTGACTAGACTTTTTGATTAAGATTATTTTGATTAAAATACATTTTCTGGATTTTATTTCATTGCATCTGTGCTACAAGTCAGATGCTTGATCTGCTAGGCTGAACAAGTTGGTGCACATTCATGTGTAATAAATCAGTGATAAGAATTGTCTGATAGTCTGTTCCAAAATTGTATGGAAATACAGTCAGTTAAAGAGACTGACAAAGAAGGATGCTATGAGGATTCAGAGTTTCTAAAACATCTGTTCTCTAATATAGGTACACACGATTTAATGCAAATTGTAGTTACTATTGTTTCTCCATTTTATTTGTTAGGGTTTTACCATTAGTTAATAGTTTAATCACAATGATATCTCATTAGTTTAAAAAGTAATAGATAATAGTTAAATTACTTAGTCCAGTCTTAAGAAGCATCAATGAAACCAAGACTGACTACAAGTTTTTGGGCTAAATGAAAGTAGCCACAGTATAAGAGCCAGTGTTAACCAGACTATATATCAAGCAGACTACTGCAATTAGTTCTAGATTTTTGTGTGTGTGTGTGTTCACCTGCTTATGTAAGAGAAATATATTCATATTTGTAGGTTTAAAAAAAAATCTCATTCTCTTTCTGATTAAGAGAAAGAAGTTTTAAGATTACCTTCCCTACAACTGAGCTAACTCTTGCTCTAGCCAGGATGCCAATGCATCACAATGTTTGTGGTGAAATTAGGTCTGCAGGGGGTGGGCTGGGAAATGACAATAAAAACCTAAACCCAATCCTGAAGTCATCATACTCCACCCAGGAAAACCTCTTTATGCAACTGAGCATTTGCTCATACACATGACTCATGATTTGACTTTTAAGCCTCTGGAGTTCACAGGGTTACCATCAAGGTCAGTTTACCAATGAAATATCAAATTACTATCCCTTCCCATTGTTTCAGCATGGCCCTTGGTACTGATTATGTAACATATTTATGTGGGAAGTTTTACACACACACACACAAATCATATTCTTTTAATTTCAAATGAGAAAAACAGTGAAAAATCAAAAGAACCTTCTTACCAGAGAATTTTAAATTAAGCTATTCAAGGACGTGGGCAGACATCACAAAGCATTAGTTGTAGCAGTAAAGTGGGAGACAGTTTCAGAGATTCTTCCCTATTGAAATTAATGGATTTTCTCACCAGGAGCACTGCTTAAAATTATTA